CTGTGCTGAAAAGGACACAAGAATGAGAAACCCTGTACAGACCCCAAACCTGAGAAGACACTTCCTCAGCTCCTATCAACAAAGTGATCCAACCACACACACATGGGCTGACCCTCCAGTACAGGGCAGCTGCTGTGAGAGGTCACCGCTGGCCATGGAATGTCAGGATGGTCTTCAGTGAGGAGAGGAAAAGCTTAAGATGCAACAGCTCCCTCCTGTTGTGACTAAGGAGGTAATGGATGAGGACAGTAAGGAAGGTCACAGGAGCAGACAGGAGACTTGGATAATGAAGGATTTCCAGAATCTGACGGAACGAGGTGAAAAGAACAGTGATTCTAGGGAGAGGAATCAGTGAGAAGAAAAGTTCAGGAAATATAACAATACCTTAGTATTTGGGCTCAAGAAGACATCCATGGGGAGCAGACCAGAGGTGTGTGTAGTCAGGAGGCAATGACAGCAGGTGACAAGAAGGTGAAAATACTTAAACGCTTAGGTCCATTATTCTCCAGGAAATCTCTGTGGAGTCCAAGCTCTTCCCCAGTGTGTATATACATATACACAGACACACACATAGAGGTATGTTAGAACGTGAGCACACGGACACACAGAACCTTGCACACAGAGGAAGGTAACCAGGACTTCCTGCACACGACCCTCCTTCTCTTACCTGTGAGCTCCAATGTCTCCTTCCTGTGAGCCCCCAGTGCCCTCAGCCACAGTCTGCAGTCTCCCTCTGAGGTTCTCTTCAAGAACATGCTCAGACCCCTGTCCTTCTCCCAGGCCTCCTTCATCCGTCTGCCTCCAGGATGAACCTGTGTCCACTTCATGGTTTTCGGATCAAACTGGAGGAATATCTGTCCATCAAAGCCCAGCTGCCAGGATGCTGTGGTGTCTCCTCCAGCTTCCAGCTGACAGCACATCCTGGCCTGCAGGGTGACAGGGGCTGCCCCACCCCCATGGAGAGACATCACCTGCTGGTCCTGGTCAGTTCTCCCCTCCCCATTTTCCTCTGTCCACTCCAACTACCTTCCCTACTCTGTTTACCTAGTCTAGTCCTGACAGAGGGTCTTCTCTAATTTCTTAACCTCTGATTTCTTTTTACTCCTCCGCACAATGCCAGCCCCCACTTCCTCCATATATGCATCTCTCTGCCCTTTCCCCATCCCACCAGCCCCAGCACATGCACACTCACCTCTGGAGCTGTAGTTTTCCAGTTCAATGTCAGGGACTCGCTGCCTCAGCTCTGCCCCTATGTCTCTCAGCGTTTGTGTCTGTTCCTCCCCTTCCTTCATGGCGTTTATCTTCTTCCCCAGGAGACTGACATTCACCATCTTGAGGTTCCCACAGTCATAATGACAGAAAGGCTCTTCATCCACCTGGCCTTGAACCTGACACCATGACCGTCCAGATGGGGACTTGAGCATGATGGTGAAGTTGTAGCAAAGAGAGTGAAATCCTGTGAGGGCAGGTGCCAGGTGAGATGGAGGGAGCCAAGGAAAGACCAGTAAAGTCCAGTGTCTGTGACGCCAAGGGAATCACTCTTAGGGCTGCCTGATGGACCATAATGTCCCTTTTTCAGAGAGAATGCGTGTGTGCCCCAGATAGTGTGGCCAGGAGCCGGGCAAGGAGCCTGGGGCCAGGGCTGAGGCACAGGATGGGCGGCAGGTCAGGCAGCGAGGCACCCACAGGGCGGTGGGGAAGGGGTGGGACGCGGGGACGGCAGGCAGCTCGGCCAAGGAGCCGTGTCTGACCTGCACAAGCCGCCAGTGGGAGACGGGAGCGCGGCAAGTCCGTAAGAGGACACCGGGGCGCAGGGCCGGGCGGCTGGGCTGAGGAGGAGCGAGAGTGGGCACCCACATCCTGCTGCAGGAGTAGAGAAGCATCGGAGACTCTGACACTTCTCTAACTTTGTAAAGGGGCGGCCAGGCTCCCCTGGGCGGCGAAAGCAGCCCTCGTTCAGGTCCCTGGAGGACACTTGGGGGCTGGAGGCTCGAGAAGACCCCCCCCCACCTTCCCCTCGCAGGACTTACGAAGTGGCACCTCCAAAGAGCAGCCTAGCAGCAGAAACAGGAGACGGAGCTTGGTGCCCGCAGTCCGCATCACGGGGGCCAGAGCGCACGAGGGGTCCGGTGGGCGATCGCGGTGTCGACAAGAGGTCTCTGCTGATTCGGTCTATGAAGGTACAGGTCTTGGGGTCCCCTAATAACGGAGCTGGGAGAATCTGTTTTACAAGGAGGAGCGAATAGGTTTCGGTGAAGCCACCCGGGAGGCAAATGCTGGCAACTCGGGTTCGGAGGAGTCTCGCCCGGCGCAGGCGTGGGGGCTGCAGTGGGCAGGCGACAGTGTCACCCACAGAGAGGGGGCAGTGAGGGCTGTGCCGGGCGGTCTTGGTGCTCAGCGCTCGGCTCACAGGGAAGGAGGCGGTTTGCGCGCGGTGGCCCCGGTACTGGCGATCAGCACTCTTCTCCCAGCTGAGGACTTTGGCGGCAGGACGCAGGCGCTTGGGGAAGGTGGGGCGGTGCTGCGTCGCCCAGGGTAAGACTCCGGGTGGAGGAAGCCGCAAGCGCAGGTTGTCCAGAGTTCAGGAAGTGGCGCTGGTCTGCGTGGAGGAGCTCAGAGTGCTCAGTGGCAGCAGTCAGGGAGCGTGGCGGCGTTGACCAGGGGGCGGGGCGGCGCTGGTCAGAGGGCGGGGCGGCGCTGGTCAGGGCGGGGCGGCGGCGGTCAGGGGGCGCCGCGGCACGCCACTACAGGAAGAAAGATTGTCTCCAAGATGATTACAGCTTCGAATCCGAGGGAGTCAGCTCCAGTGCAGTGAGTTTGCTTCTGACATCGCTCTGGGGCGATTGCGCCTCTTTCTCTCGCGGAGTCGTTCCCACAAAGGAGCCTCTTTGGGGTTCACAGCGCATCTCCCTGTGGACAAGACCAGCAGAGCTCCCCGCGCTGGGAAAACGCGAGGAAAGTCACAGCCCAGACGGTACAGACGGGTATGGGGTGGGGGGACTTGAAGGAAGAAAATGTGCACCCATATCCCTCTAAGCTCTTCTTGGTTTAAAGCGAGGTTCAGATTTCTGGTTCAGGAGTGACTGTGAGTCAAGTTAACCAGGTGGCAGCTGACAACCGCCTCTTCCCAGACAGAAGCACTGAGACTCTGTGGTCGCGTGAAATCTCGTGATCTCACTGACGGATTATGATACAGTGATCATATCCTACATGTCAGAAGCTTCACAAACACCGAGGTTTTCAGAATGAATGTCCCGTGTGCTGGCAAAACACCATTGAGAGCCAGAGATCTTTGCTCATGCAACCACACACTCTAGTTATACACTTGAATCTTGTGTGAAAAGAAGTGTCTGAGATGTTTTTAGCTCAATTTGCCTTTGAAAACATGTGAATAAAGATGATCAAAATGCATGATGATCCTTGAGATGCAGGTTCATTGTGACAGCTAAAATACAACCTTCCCATTTCGTTCTTTCATGAAAACGGAGTTTACGCATTCAGGATCTCCCCGGCCTTGTGCGAGTGGGTGAACTTATCCATTTCCCTGCATTTCCTAATGTCACAGGGACTGGCTCAGACTTAGAATACTTGCTTTCTCTGCAGACAGTAGGAATCCTCGGGCCAGTCTTCAGCAAGTCTCTTTGTGAACCCACAGGGCACCAATCCCTCAGAGACACCTGCGGTCTGAATGGACCCCATACTCCTTCCCGGAGGTCGCTCTGGGGATCCCTGCGCTGAGGCCACAAGGCACGGGGCTCCCCTCCTCCTGTTTGGCTGTCCAGCAAGTGAGGGGAGGGCGTACAGGGGCGGCATGAGTCCTGAGGATTCCGCTGCCTCGGAAACCCCAAATTTCCTCCTGGGCACTTCCCGGAGCTGTTTCTCCCCAGCTGGATTAGAAGCAGAAAGGAATAAAGAAGCGATCATGGAAAGAGTTTGAGGGGAGACAAATCATGTAGGGGAGGGGTACAGGGGGGGAGGGTTTGTCCTGGGGCCTGGACCATGGAGGTGTCAATGGGTTCTTCTCTCCCCTCTGTACCCCGAGTTTCCAGACACTTCCTGGACGGTTATTTCTCCCCTCAGTTGCGAGCAGAGAACACAAAAGGCAATAATGAAAAAAATGTGAGACAAGAGTTAGGGAACATTAAAGAAATGGGTGCCTCAGGGATGTTGGGGCACCTCGGTTTAGTAATCCAGAGCTGCTTTGACAGACCTGTCCTAAGTGGAAGCTTTAACAGGCAGACAAGACTTCTTTCAAATCTGAAGAGGCCAGAAGTCCTTGCTCCAAGGGCTGCTTCAGGGGAGGGAGGCTCTGGAGAAGGCCTGTCTCTGCCTCTTCTGTGTCCTGGGTCCCTGGAGCCCTTCCTGAGTCTTCTCACCCATCCTGTCATCTACCAGATCCATCTCTCTATCTCTGCTGTTTGTGTAATCTTTTCTCTCTCAAGAGAGATGGACTGCAGATAAATCCTACACTAATCCCTCCTCCCTGACTCAAATACAATATCTCAGGTGGAATAACCCAGAGGCAGAGAGGTGAGCATGTCCAGCTGTGTCTCTGGGGAAGCTGAACAGGTGAAGGGGTTTTTGTTGTTTTGTTTTCTACATTTTAAAACAAAACCATTTTCAGGGTGTAGAGGAAGGGGTGGGTTAAGGAAATGGGAAATATCCAGTGTGAAAAACAACGTATCCTAACTTTGTAAACCAGTACAAAATAAAATAAATTAAATAAAAAAGATATTTTATTAAAATGTTCAAACAACATTATTATAAGGTTCATGCATTAACATTAATTTCTGCTTCTAATAACTCAAAAGTTAAAATTCTTCCCTACAAAAAATTAAACATCTTCCCTATAATAGGCGAGTTGCCAATCTTTTCAAAGTCTTAAGTCAAGTGATGACAGTAGAGGTCTGTGGTGTCTTTAAATCTACATCTGAATCTTGAAGCTTTTCCAGGGGAAATGCTGCCCTGTGTTAGTCCACACACCGGCAGAAATGGGGGCTTGCATGTTTGCATCTTGTTGGTGATGTTTTCCTCTTCTCTTGGTATCTCCTTTTTCTGCCTGAGCCTCAGGAATATTTTCTGAGAATTGATCACGTGCTTCTAGAATTACGCTGTATGTTTCAGCTTACACTTCCCAATGTGTTATTGATGAGTCATTACAACACTTCATCACAACCTGAGTATGTTTTAATACGCCCCCCCCCCCCGTGAGTAATGGGAAGCAGAAAGGGCCAAAGAGTGGGGAGTTGGGGAATGAACTCTTCCTAGAAGGAATCCTGTTAACACAAGAGCTGCCAAGATCCAAGACACTCTCTAAGCTTCCAGCCTGTGGTGCTTTGTCAGAATGAGGCAGAACTGAAGGATGATCCTCTGCTCTCTGCAGCATGGTTGCCCCCAGGACGATGCTTCAGGAACAGAAGTGAGAAGTCCCCAGGGGGGTCACTCACTCCCCTTGGCACTGAGTTTGACGAGTTTTCAAGCTGACTCTGTACAGGGTTTCTGACTGTAAAGGGCACAGGAGGAAACGGCCCTTCTTTCCCCACAGATTCACTGGGGCACTTGAAGAACCAGAAAAGCATGGGCTTTGGGTGAGCAGTGCAAGTCTCTACAGATCATAAGAGGTCAAATGTGACAAAACCTGGAAGCCCTGGACACTGGCTTTAATAGGTTTGCAAATATAGCCAGAAATGCACAACCAGGAGAGAATCAAATCAAGAAATGGAATGTTTTTAAATTAAGTCCCTGGCGAGCTCTGGTGGCCTAGTGGCAAGAAGGTGTACTGCAATCCCAGAGGTGCACGGTTCAAATCCGCCAGATGCTCTGCTGGAGAAGGAGGAACAGTCTCCTCCTGTACCAGTCAGATCTGATTTGAGGGTACACACACATGCACAAAAAATAATAAAATAAAAAAATTAAGTCCCTGTATGCCTGATATACCAATTGGTGGCACCATGATAGATGGAGAAGAGATTGAGTTTGTTAACAATTACAGCTTGCTCAGCTCCACAACCAACGCCTTTGCCACAGCAGCCAGGAAATCAAAAGATGAATTGCACTGGGAAAATCTGCTGTCAGGGATCTTTCCAGAGTGCTGAAGAACAATGATGTCAATTTAGAGACTAAGGTGCACTTAATCCAGGCCATGGTCTTCGCTATTACTTGCTATTTGTCAGAGAACTGGACAATGACTAAAGATGACAGAAGAATTGATTCCTTCGAACTGTGGTGGTTGAACATACCATGGACTACCAAGGAAACAAGTCTGTCTTGGAGAGGGTGAAACCAAGTTTCTCCTTAGAGGCTAGGATTTTGAAGCTCCATCACACATACTTTGGGAACTTGGGAAAGAATGGTACTTGAAGAAATACATCATGCTTGGAAGGGTGGCAGGATAGTGCGGGATAAGAACATTCCAGATGAGAAGGATTGATACAGTAATTGGGGCAATGAAGGTGTGTGAGACTAGCACAGGACAGGGCAGGGTTCAGAGCTGCTATACAAAGAGTCATTCATTATAGTTCACAGGTGACTCGACCACAGTTGGCAGTTAACAAAAACATGCCTGAAAATATTTTTCAATAGGGTGAAAAGAAAACCTATAGATTGGGGGAAAACAATTGGTAATGGAATCTTAGACAATGGTCTCATAATGGAAGTTAACATAATACCACAGGGCCTCCACATGAATAAGACTGATTACCAAATACAAGAGATGCGGGAAGACTTTTCACAAAGGAAGACATGCAGGTGGCCAACAGACACATGAAGAAATCTTCAGAATCACTAGCAATCTAAGAGATGTACTCTTAGAGATACAAGGAGACATCATCTCACCCCAGTCTCAGTAGCAAAGTTTAACAGAAGAGTAATCAATAAATGTTTGGGGAGGTAGTGGAGAGATTGGAACTCTGATGTCCTCGGGTGTGTTGTGAAATTGTACTTGCACACTGGAAGTCAGTTTGGCATTTCCTCAAAAATCTAAATATAAAAATTCCAAATGGCCCAGCTATTCCACTGCTAGTAATATGTCCCAGTGAAAATAGAACTGAGACACAAAAGGAGATTGTAGCCTCTGTGAAGGTGAAAGAGTGAGTCCCACCCAGTAGTAGGATGAGATTTGTCTTTGAATGGATTTATGAAACCACACTGGACTTTTGATTCACTTTCAAAAAAGGGCAATCAGGAAAGGAGAGAAGGAAAAGGCTAAAAAGAAAGGGAAAGTGTAGAACAAACTGGTGTCTGAGGCAGGGGACAGTTGGTGCCCATCAGAGCCCACTCTCAAGACTTGAGGTTGGAGAGTGCTCAATCCTAGCGATCACTTGGATCCACAAGCGTGGAAGTGGGAGGGGAAACAGAAATCCTGTACAATATAAATGAATGAAATATAATATGAATGAAAGACTGCATGGAGCACAACACGCACACATGAAACACAATGTGTATGAATGTTAAAAAAATATTAATTAACAAATGTTCATGAGTGATTGGAGGGGAAAAAATGGGTGAAGAGCCACCAGTTCTTTTGGGGGCTGCATGTTCTTTTTGTGGACTCCTCCCAAAGGTTTATCCAGCCTCCCGTTCTCCAGCCCTGTGCTTGTCAATTGTTTCCTTGAACTATGGCTTGGAGAAGAGTACTGATATGCCATGGACTTCCAAAAGATCAACCAGAAATGTCTTGGAGAAAGTGCAGCCAGAATGCTCCTTGGAGGCAAATACGATAAAGCTTCATCTAACATACTTTGGGCCTGTTGCTAGGAAAGTCTGTTCCTGGAGAGGGACATCATGCCTGGGAGTGTGGAGGGACAGTGCAAGAGGGGAAGACCCTCACTTAAGTGGACTGACACAGTAACTACAGTAATGGTTCAAGTATATCAGAGACTGTGAGGATGACACAGGTGAGGACAGGATTCATGATATCTGTTGTTCTTAGGGTCGCTATGAGTTGTACTCAATTTGACAATTCCTAACAACAACAGCATGCGTGGGAATGTAATTCTAACTGACATGCTCTGGGCACAACATCTTGGTAGCTCTGACCATGCCCCCCCCACCCCCGGGTCGCCATGCCTAGACCAACAGGCATGAAGGTTTCCAGGAGGGTATGATTGATGCCATGTGATGGGCTGGATGGAGGTGGGGACCCTCCACTGACTCAGATTGAGCTCCCAGCCCCCTAAGGGGGGTTATCGCATGATTCTTGAACAAAAGCCACATGATTCTTGTTGGCAAAAAAATTCATTTTAAAAGAAGCTTTTAAACACTATTATACTTTATTTTTAAATAGCATAGAAATATAAATTGAAGATACAATCAACCAGCACACAGGGAGATTCCCTTACTGTGGACTCGGGTATTGAGACGGAATAATGTAAGCTAAGGAAAGGTCCAGGCACAGAGAGAATGCATTTAGAATGGTTATCACGGATGGGAAGAGGAATGAGGGGAATCAAAATTAATCAAAATGTAAGTTGAATGGAACACAAAGGAGTATATATTAATAAACATTATAATTAATTTATTTTATTAATCTAGCCTAATTAATTCTATAAAGATGGGTATATAGAATGAAATAAAAATGACAGTTATATAAAATACACATGGATTATCCAATACAAAAAAGTATTCTTTGTAAATGTGCACATAAATTAATTAAAAAATAAGGACAAAAGAGAAGCAAAAACAACAATTTGGAACAGGGGGTGCATAATGGGGTGGGCTGGAGGAGGGGAAGGGCCAGGGGGAACAAATTTGCAATAATGAATAAAAAGAATTCATTTCAAAAAAATAAAAGCAGGAGCATGAAACAAAAAAATGAGAGAAAAAGTGATTACTTAGCCTGGGAGGGTACAAAATATGTGATAAGAGCAGTTTCTAACCATGTTGAGGGATGACTATCCTGTGCTCAGTGGCAAAGGGGATTCAGACAGATGAATGAGCAAGAAGAGACAGTTAAGGAGGCCTGGTGGCCTGGGACAAGGAGGCCACGATGGTTAGACCAGAGGGTGTGGAGGAGAGAGAGAGCCAGGAGGTGGTGTAAGAGGCCTCCATATTGATATGAGACCCAAGTCCTCGGTTATCGAAATCAAAGATTTTAAGATTTCCACTCAGCATTTTGGTGGTGTCCTTATTGAAAATGGTTCCTCAAACCAGCAATATTGGAAAAGCACCCATATTGTTTGCCAACATTTGAAAAGATATTCTTTTCACATATTGCTGTTAATATTTTTCCTTTCAGAAAGATACTACAAAAGAAATATTGGCAGGAGAAATACAGAAATTGGAGTGGGCAGCCGTGTGGTGGCCCCAGATGATGCTCTCCCGGGGAGGGATGAAGCAAGGACAGGGCAGCCACACTAGGAACTGGGTGCTGTCCACAGGAGCAGTGGTTCAGAAATCACTGCTTAACTTGGGAGGGACTGGAGAGCATCACACTGAGTGAACTAACTCAGACCCGTAAGGACAAATACTGTGTAAGACCATTATTGCAGAATGTGTATGAGGATCCAAGGAGGGAGGTGGAGAGCAGAGGGGTGAGGATGGGCCGTGGGAACGGGGGTGATCACAGGGTCACACAATTTGATAATTTGATGAATGGGTTAAGGAAATAGAAAAGATCAAGTAAACCAGTATAAGTGGACAACAGCCAAGACACATGTCTGACTTTTGAGGTATTTCAGATCTGAAGTTGCACACAGTTTTGCAGCTGGTGGTTATATTCATTCACAAGGACCCAGGATCCAGAGAGGCACTTGACTTTCAGCAAGACGCAAAGATGGGGCACCTCTGCCCAGGTGTCTATATGCACCAGAGATTCAGCCATCAGCACCAAGAGAAAAAGGCACAGTGGAACCAGGTCAGGAGAAGAAGGTCATCAACCATGGACACAGGGCCTGTGTGCTGCATCTGGAGGGTTAACAGGACCTGCTGGAGCCTTCAAAAAGGAAACACATATTTGAGCAAGTCCCTGAGGAACTCCTGGGACACTTATTCCCTGTTACCCTGTGGCTCACTCCCCCTCCCAGGGTCCCCAGGTAGTTTCTGCACTTCCCTTGTGCCCCTCTTCCTTGCACCCTATCCCTGGACCCATTTCCTCCCTCCTCCTGTTCATCAACAGCCAACCAGGTGGTCTGGACACAGCATTAGTGCCAGGAGTGAATTTCCCTGCCCCCTTCCTCAGGCCTTGGTTTCTCCTTCCATTGTGGGACCTACAGGACCAGGGAGAGTCCTGTCTAAGAGAGGGGCCTGCATCCTGGGTGGGAGGCCAGCATCTCTCTCTTCCTCCCCTCTCTGGGCCTCTCCTCACACTGATGGGGCACTCACAGCTCTGACTTTGACTGTTCTGTCCCTGCTCCATCACTTCCCCTGCAAGACATCATCTGGAGGCACCAAACTGCTGTCCACTCCAATTCCAGGATTCCTGAGAACTGTGTTCCTACTGTCTCCACCCCCAATATGGGCTACCCTCTGAATAGAGACCCTGGTTTGCATCAGGCTTGGATTTTCTGTCCCCTTAGCAGCAGCAGGAAGTAAGCCTTGTTCAGAGTCCTCCCCTTTTCTTCTGCTATTTGACTGTGAAGATTCAGCTGAAGTCAAAGCAGAAAAACTACACAGCAATTTTCTATAAAGTTGTAGAGGGTCAATTCACCCTGTGTTATGCAGCATGAGGAGGTCAGTGGTAGGTCAGACAGATGCTCTCCCCAGTCCTCACAACCCAACCCTGTGCTGCTCTCTCAACTCTGTCCACAGTACCTGTCAATCTAAAGACTTCATGGGAAGGCAAGGAAGGTGAAGCAGATGAGGGTCATGGCAGTGATCCAGGGGCTCCAGTGACCAGGTGTAATCGCTGTGCCTTGGGAGGTGGCTGGGGCCATGGTGGGCTGTGCTGAAAAGGACACAAGAATAGGAAACCCTGTCCAGACCCCAAACAGGAGAAGACACTTTCTGAGTTCCTGTCAACAAGGTGATCCAACCACACACACATGGGCTGACCCTCCAGTACAGGGCAGCTGCTGTGAGAGGTCACCGCTGACCAAGGAATGTCAGGATGGTCTTCAGTGAGGAGAGGAAAAGCTTAAGATGCAACAGCTCCCTCCTGTTGTGACTAAGGAGGTGATGGATGAGGACAGTAAGGAAGGTCACAGGAGTAGACACATGATGTGGATAATGAAGGATTTCCAGAATCTGACTGAAAGAGATGAAAAGGAACAGTGATTCTAGGGACATGAAACAGTGAGAATAAAAGTTCAGGAAATATGACAATACCTAAGTATTTGGGCTCAAGAAGACATCCATGGGCAGCAGACCACAGGCGTGTGCAGTGAGGAGGAGATGTCATCAGGTGACAAGAGGGAGGAGAAGGTGAAAATACTTAAATGTTTAGGTCTATTGTTCTCCAGGAAATCTCTGTGGAATCCAAGCTCTTCCCCAGTGTATACACATACATATACTCAGACACACACACAGAGCTATGTTAGAACGTGAGCACAAGGACACACAGAGCCTTGCACACAGAGGAAGGTAACCAGGACTTCCTGCACACGACCCTCCTTCTCTTACCCGTGAGCTCCAATGTCTCCTTCCTGTGAGCCCCCAGTGCCCTCAGCCACAGTCTGCAGTCTCCCTCTGAGGTTCTCTTCAAGAATATGCTCAGACCCCTGTCCTTCTCCCAGGCCTCCTTCATCCGTCTGCCTCCAGGATGAACCTGTGTCCACTTCATGGTTTTCGGATCAAACTGGAGGAATATCTGTCCATCAAAGCCCAGCTGCCAGGATGCTGTGGTGTCTCCTCCAGCTTCCAGCTGACAGCACATCCTGGCCTGCAGGGTGACAGGGGCTGCCCCACCCCCATGGAGAGACATCACCTGCTGGTCCTGGTCAGTTCTCCCCTCCCCATTTTCCTCTGTCCACTCCAACTACCTTCCCTACTCTGTTTACCTAGTCTAGTCCTGACAGAGGGTCTTCTCTAATTTCTTAACCTCTGATTTCTTTTTACTCTTCCGCACAATGCCAGCCCCCACTTCCTCCATATATGCTTCTCTCTACCCTTTCCCCACCACACCAGCCCCAGCACAGGCACTTCTCACACTCACTCACTCACCTCTGGGGCTGTAGTTCTCCAGTTCAATGCCAGGCACTCGCTGCCTCAGCTCTGCCCCTATGTCTCTCAGCGTTTGTGTCTGTTCCTCCCCTTCCTTCATGGCGTTTATCTTCTTCCCCAGGAGACTGACATTCACCATCTTGAGGTTCCCACAGTCATAATGACAGAAAGGATCTTCATCCACCTGGCCTTGAACCGCACACCATGACCGTGCAGGTGGAGACTTGAGCATGATGGTGAAGTTGTAGCAAAGAGAGTGAGATCCTGTGAGGGCAGGTGCCAGGTGAGATGGAGGGAGCAGACGAAAGGCCAGCAAAGAATCGGGGTTCCGTGTCTGTGACCCCAGGGAATCACTCTTAGGGCTGCTTGATGGACCTAAAGGTCCCTTTTTGCAAGAGAATGTGTGTGTGCCCAGATGACGTGGCCACGGTGTGGCCAGGTGCTGGGCAAGGAGCCTGAGGCCAGGGCCAAGGACAGCATGGGCGGCAGGTCAGGGAGCAGGGCGGTGGGGAAGGGGTGGGACTGCGGGGACAGGGCGCAGGCAGCTCGGCCAAGGGAGGGGGGGGCGCAGAGCTGGCGGAGCTGGCGGCAGGGCCGTGTCTCTAACTTTCTAATAGGAAGGCCTGGCTCCCCTGGGAGGCCGGAAGCAGTCCTGGATCATGTCCCCAAGGGCCAGAGGCTTGAGAAGTCCTCCTAGGACTTAGGAGGTGGCGCCTCCAAGGAGCAGCCTAGAAGCTGCAGCAGAAGCAGGAGACCGAGCGTGGAGTGGACAGTGCGCATCACGGGGGCCTGAGCGCAGGACGCGCTGAGTGATTGCAGTGATGCTAAGTCTCCACTGACTCCAGGTATTTTTATACTGTGTCAATGAGTCAAGGAGCGGGTGTGGCGCAGTCAATTCCCCGGACCTGAGTCACATTAGGGTGCCCGAAGTTTTCTTGTGAAATCATTCTCCACCTACAACTGCTAGGTGGATTGTGGAAGGGTAGTGAGACCTCCAGCAGCAGGCTGGAAGCAGAAGATAAGAAATGTTTCCTCTGCTCAGGGCTCTTGGTCCAGTGCAAGAGTATCAGTAGTTAACATCAAGAGAGTAAGGCAAATGTGAGCAGGTCAGGAACTTCTTGTGTGTTAACACATGAGTCCAAGGCTTGTGATGCTGCATTTGAAGGGTCTTCAGGATTTGCTGTAGCCTTCAGAAAGGAAATACGTGTTTGTGCAAGTGACTAAGGAACTCCTGGGTCAGTTGTTCTCAGCTGCCCTCCTGATTACTCCCCAACTCAAAGTCTCCCCACTAGAGTCCAGCATTTCTCTTGTTCCTCTCACCCCTGCATCCTCCAGCCTGGACTTAAGTCGCACTCCTCCTGTTCTTCAATACACAGTCACATGGTTTCGACTCAGCATTAGGGCCATTAGAGAATCCTTCTGCTCCCTTTCTCAGCCTTGTTCTCTCCTCCCATGCAGGGCCCACAGGACCAGAAGAATCCTGTCCTAAGGTGGAACCTGCGTCCTGGGGGAGAGGCCAGCATCCCTCTCTCCCTGCTCTGCTCTGGGCTTTTCCTCTCACTGGTGGATCACACAGAGCTCTGAGTTAGCCTGCTCCATCACTTACCCTGGGAGACATCATCTGGAGACTGTCCACCTCAATTTCAGTATTTCTCCTGCCTGTGTTCCTAATAGCAACACCCTCATTATGGGCTGTGCCCAAACCAAGACCTTGGTTTGAATTAGACTTGAATTTCTCAGTTCCCTTAGCAGCAGGCTCTAAGCTTTGGCTTGAGCATCAAGCCTTTCCTTCTGCTATTTGACAGTAAAGATTCACCTGAAGCCAAAGTGGAGGGTGGGGTAGGGATGAGTCACAAACAATCCATGGGATTTTTTATGAAGTCAGGGAGGTTCAATTCAGCCTGTGTCACTCAGAGTGAGGAGTTCAGTGGTCAGACAGGGACAGAAGCTCTGCCCACACACCTTCATCCCCAGTTCTCACAACCCAACCCTGTGTTTGTTCTGGTCTCTCAATTCTGCACACAGTGCTCATAAATCTAAATACTTTTTATGGGATGACAAGCAAGGTCAAGTAGATGAGGGTCATGGCCATGATCCAGGGCTCCCGAGACCAGACGTAATGGCTGTAGCTTAGAAGATGACTGGGGCTGTGGTCAGCTGTGCTGAAAAGGGAACAGAGGAATGAGAGACCTTGTCCAGACTCCAACTCTGAGGAGACAAATTCCTCTGCTCCTGCCAAGAAGTTAATCCAACAACAGACACATTACTAACTTTATTTAAAAAGTAGATGCTGTGAAAGATCAGGGCTGACTATGGAATGGACCAGTATGGTTTTCAGTGAGGAAAGGAAAAGCTTAAGATGAAACAGATCTCTCTTGTGGTGACTGATGGCTGATGGTAAGGGAGGCCTCACAGGACTGACACTAGAATTGGATATGGAGGAGTTCCAGAAACTGATTGAGGAAGAGGAAAACGAACAGCGATTCTAGGATGAGGAAATAGGAGAAAAGTCCTGGAAATATGATAATGCCTAAATACTTGGTGTCAACAAGACATCCATAGTGAGCAGATTGCAGGAGTATGCAGTGAGGAGATGTCAGCAGGTAAGAAGGGAAAGAGAGATGGCGGTGAAAATACTTGTGTCCTTATTCTCCAAAGAGCTCACTGCAGAATTGCTCTTCTCTAACACACACACACAAACACACACATGCTATAATATGAACACAAACAAAAACACAGACTTGCACACAAAAGAAAGCAAACTGCCATTTCCTGCACACCACCCTCCTCCTCTCTTACCTCTGGGCTCCAACACTTCCCTCTGTGAGCCCCCAGTGTCCTCAGCCACACTCTGCCCTTAGAGGTTCTCTTCAACATCTTGCTCAGACCCCAGCCCTCTCCCAGGCCTCCTTCATCAGTCGGCCTCCAGGATGAATTCTTCGTATCACTCTATGATTTCTGGGTCAAGCAGGAGGGATAGCTGTCCATCAGAGCAGAAGGGTCAGGACGCTCTGGACCTTCCCCCTGCTTCAGCTGACAGCACATCTATCTTGACCTGCAGGGTGTCAGGAACTGCCCTGCCCCCAAGGAGAGGAATCCAGAGCTGGTCCTGACCAATCCTCTGTCCCCCCATCTTTGTCCCCTCTTCTTGCCCTAAGTCTTCTTCCTAGTCCAGCCTGGCAGAGGCCCTTCTCCAGTGCAACTAACTTTGATTTTTTTTTTTTTTAAATCATCCACACAATGCTAGGCCCCACTTTTCCTCTTGCGGCTCTCTCAGCCCTCCCCACCTCACTATCCCCCAGCACAGGGACTTTGCACCCTCATAGAATAGCCCTTTCTGTCATTAAGTCACCAAAGTGTGACATTTCACTACAATCTTTCACATTGGCACAGATAGGTTAGGGGGGGACTTCAGAACATGTTCATAGAGTCTGTGTCTCAGTCTTCCTCTCTGGCGTCTCATCCTCATTACTTTTCACCATAGTCGCTTCTTTCCTAAGCTTCATTCCTAACTAGGAGAAACAGCCCCAGAAACTTTCTGGGAGTGAACTTATGCATGAGAAGACCCGACCTGTGCCCCCTCTCAGACTCACTCCCAGCACTCACCCGCTGGACCTGTCGCGCAGGATGAGGTCAGCAGCAGAGGCAGGAGCACGAAATGCAGGGGGAGCCTGAAGCCTGCACCATGAGAACCTCAGCTCTGGGCACCCCAATCAGTGACCTCAGAGGTACCCAGGAGGTGCCTTTCTATTTGGTGATATTTCTGTTTTAAATCAGTGGGTACAGGACACACCAGCTCCACGAGGTTCTGAACTGGACACGCGGGAACGCATTGACTGAGTCAGGGCTGCAGGGTGAGGCGAATAAGCTCTGCTGGCAGGGAATAGGATCCTTTAAAGGAAAAGGGAATGAGGAAGGGAGCCCTGCCCCGGGAACTTCCCATAAGCCTGGAAGCCCAGCGGCCGGGTAGTAAACCTTTCAGCAGAGAAGGAACTCACCAAGTAGAGAGAGCGCCCAGAAGATGAGGAGGGGGCCCAGGGGCCGAGATGGAGCCCAGCGGGCGGGTGGCGAGCGCAGGGGCCCCAGATAGAGCCCAGTGGCCGGGTAGGGAGCCCAGCGCGTGGGAAGAGAACCCACGGTCCGGGAAGCGAGTCCAGGGGGGCTGGGGTGAGAGAAATCAGTAACGCGAGAGAAAGAAAACGGGTGCAGGCGAGGAGTGAAGCGAACCCAACTTCTGGGAAGAGAGTGAACCAAGGGTCTGAGAAGTGAGTGAGCTCAGGTCTGGTGAGAAAGCGAGCTCACTGGGGTGGAAGCGAGCCCAGGAGCCCGAGAAGAGAGCCCAGACCCGGGGAGAGAGAGCCCAGAGGCTGGAGGAGAGAGCCCAGACCCGGGGAGCTAGATAGCACAGAGGCCGGAGGGAAAAGCTCAGGGCCAGGAAGCGAGAAAGCCCAGGGACGGAGGAGCGAGCCCAGGCTCGGGGAGCGAGAGCTCAAGTCCGGAGAGCGAGAGAGCCCAGGCCTTGGGGCCGAGGAGCGAGAGAGCCCAGGAGCCCAAGGAGACCAGGGGACAGGGGCTAACAAGCCTGGGCCGCAGAGTGAGGCCAACACCGAGGAGGGACCCCAGGGGTCAGAGTGGGATTGACTTTAGGGGCCGGAATGAGCCCAGAGATTAAGGAGAGATTGAACCAAACGGGGGGGGGGGCCGGGGCGGGGGGGGGGCTGCGCGCGTGCTGCAGAACGAGGTCTGAGAGTGAGGAGAGAGCCCAGGGTCCATGAATGTGGATAATCTTTGGACTAGGGACAAGCCCAGAGTCCAGGTAGTGAGCCCAGTGGGCGGGAGCGAGAGGCAAACAACCAAGAGCGAGCCTAGGCGCCAGGGAGAAAGGGTGGGGCCAGGGAGAGAGAAAGGAGCAGAGGAGCAAGCTAGAGAGGGCGGGAGATCCCAGCGGAATGGGAAAGATCTGATATGAAAAACAATGTATATGAACTTTGTAAGTAAATAAAATAAGAACAAAATAAAATAAAACATTTATTCAAATAAAAAAATTATTATTGTTATAAAACAAAATAAATATGAATGATTTGAAGCAAAACCAATATACTCTACAAACTTAAACTAAAATAAAAAAAGAGTAAATCCTTCAGTGTCACTCTGTGACCTTCCCAATAAAGGCAAACTCATTATACGGAAAAACTTTGGAGCTTTTATGAATTCAGGTCCAGTCATCACAATAAGCCATATTTTAAAAAGAAAGAAACTAACTCAATTAATTAAACTATTAATTAATTAAACAAAAGAATGTCATGTGCTTATTAAAATAGTGACAATAGATCTTAACCTAGAAAATAACTTTCATGATATTAGAAGTATAAAAATCAAGTGGACCTAAAAAAATGTTTTTCATTATTAGCATGTTAGAAATAAGTAACCTATCTAAAAATAAGATTTATTAATCTATTACAGTTGGAAGCAGGAGTGGAATCCACTTCCTAAACAACAAGCCTCTGGAAACTATGAACTTTGATAAATGACAATAATTATTCGAAGAAAGGGTCGCTATGAGTCTTCCTCGATGGCAATCAACAACAATCTATTACAATATATGTTTTCTAAATACTTGTTTCATTAAATTTTTATGAAAAGGGGAAAAAGATAAGGCAAGGTTAAGATCTTTTGTTCAAGGATCGCTATGGATCATAGCAAACACCTTGACACCTTGCAATAACAACAGTACCTTCTTTCATGTCCACTAGATTTCCCTGTGTAAAAATATTCCTGCAGGTCCCCAAACACTGGTGTTGTACTGGTTAGGCACTTGGTTGCTACTCAAAAGGTTAGGTATTGGGACCCATTAGATTGCAATTCTGTGTGAGAATGAAGTGACAATCTGCTTCCATAAAGATTACAGCCTAAAGGCAGATGAGGAGGAGACGGGACTCTGCCACTGAAGAATTGATACCTTCAAGTTCTGGTGTTGGAGAAGAGTACTGAATATCCCATGTTGTTGTTGTTGTTGTTGTTGTTGCTGCTGTTCTGTGTCATTGAGTTGCCTGTGACTCATAGTGTCCCTATGTACAACAGCCCTGAACCCTGTTCTATCCTGTGCCAACTTTATTGTCTCTGACACATCTACCCCCATTACCCCAGTCACTGAATCAATCCATCTCATCAAGGGTATTCCTATCTTGCTGTCCCTCCAACCTCCCAAGCATGATGACTCTTCTCCAAGGACTGGCCACTCACTCCTTGCAACATGTCCAAAGTATGTCAGATGAAGTTCAAAATCCTTGCCTCCAAGGAGCAGACTGGTCTCACCCTCTCTAAGATTAACGTGTTTGTTTTCTTAGAGGTTCATGGTATATATTCAATACTCTTCTCCAGGACCACAGCTCAAAGGCATTAATTCTGTCATTCCTAGTCATTGTCAAGCTTTCTGATGCATAGTAAGTAATTGCAAAGACTAGGGTCTGTCTTTCATTGTTTTTGTTCAAACATTCCTCCAGGTCTTATAGCCCTGGTGTGTCCACTTACCGTACAGCAGTAACTTGTGCTTGCTGTGAGGCTGAACACTGTGACACTGATGTGTCAAATGCATTATCTAAATGGTTATCTAATGTGGACAGTGTGGGTTGGAGCTCCCCGATTAAAACAAGCTTGGAAGCAGGAGTGGCATCCACTGCCATAATAGCTTGCCTCCAGAAACCCTATGAACCTGGAGAGAGGATGAAAGGTACCCAAGCGTCGAGGCCTCTCCTTCATAGGGTCGCTATGAGTTGCCTGCGACTCGACAGCGCTTAACAACAACAACAACAATAACATGGCCTGGATCATGCCCACTGTAGTCTCCAGACTGATATTATTGCTCTTAAGTACTCTAGAGAGACCTCTGACAGCAGACTTTCCCAATGCAGTTTGTCTTTTGATTTCCTAGCTGCTGGTCCCAAGAGTGCTGATTGTGGAGCCAAGCAAACTAAAGCAATTAACAATTTCAATCTCTTCACCGTTTATTATGATAGTACCAATTGGCCCAGTGGTGAGAATCTTTGTTTTCTTGATGTTGAGCTTCAATATATATTGACCTCCTACAGCAAGCACTGTAGAAGCTTCACGTCCTCCTCTGTTTCAGCAAGCAGGGTTGTGTCATCTGCATAACTCAGACTGTTGATGAGTCTTCCTCCAATCCTGATGCTACATTTCTCCTCAAAGGGCCCAGTCTTCCGGATAATCTGTTCTGCATATAGATTGAAAAGGTATGGAGAAAGGACACATCCTTGGTGCACACCCTTCCCAATTTTGAACCCTGCAGTGTTTCCCTCCTCTGTTCTGAGGACTGCCTCCTGGTCCAAGTATAGGTTTCGCATAAGCACAATCAAGTGTTCTGGGATTTCCATTCTTCTCAGAGTCAGCCACAAAAGGTGGTGCAGAAGGCAAAATGAGATGCAGGAGACAGTGACTCAGTTCAGCCCCACACAACTCATGTCAGCATATGTTTCCCAGAAGCCCACAGATCAAGACAGAGCCATCAGTTCTTTGTTTCCCTGAGGGACCTGCGGCACTGTGCCAAGAAAACAACACTGTATGCCAGATCTACAGGACACCTCACCCACCCCTGAGAAACTATTCCATTGTGACTACAGTGTGCTGCAAATGGTAGAGAAGTGGCCCTAAGCCAGAAGAAGTCAATCCAGGAGCAGAAGTTCAAGGGAAAAGCATTTTCCTCATACCTGTCTTAGATAGGAAGCCTTTTCTAATACTAGTACCTGGTATTTGGACTTACAGACTCCTAAACTCAAAGAAATACTGGTCACAGCATAAGAAACTGGCAGCAGCTTGAAGCATTTGGAATCACAGAAGGCCAGAAACCTTGAGATACAAGTTATCATATCAAGGGCTGGAAAGCAGGAGATAGGTGTTGAATGGAGAAGGTGGGAGTAGAAGGGAATCCTGCTGGAGCAAGGAAATGGGTCAAGACACACAGGGGAGTGGGTCAAGACACATGTCAGGGGTAGGGACATCACTGAATCTACTGGTTATTTTTGCAATGCTGTTGTTGTTGTTGTTATGTGCCATCAAGTCGCTTGCGACTCATAGCGACCCTATGTACAAGAGCTCTAAATGCTGTTCTATCCTGTGCCAACCTAGCCATCTCAAACGCACTTATTCCCACCGCTCCAGGGGAAATTATCTCTCATCTGCTCTTTTCCTAAAAATGCCTGTCTGTCAGATATTCTTCAAAATCTGAGCATTCAAATTAAGACAGACTAGGAAGAAGGATTGTCCCCCCACTTCCAAAATAGCAAACCTTTGAAAACCCTGTGTTCAATAAAACATACTTAGACTAGTCGATATGGCAACTGAGATGGAACCCTCAAGTACAGAAACACAAATGAGGAGGAACAGTTGTAAGCAGACATTAGTGACTGGAACATGGAATGTGAGAACCATGAATGTAGGAAAATTATATGCTGTTATAGAAATGGAATGCATAAATATTGACATAGTAGGTATTGGTGAAATGAGATGTACTGACATGGGGCATTTTGAGTCAGATGATCATATGATCGACTATGCTGGATATGAAAAGGTGAGGAAAAATGGGGTTGCTATCATAGTTAAAAAAATCATTTCTATATCCATCTTGATATACAATATTGTGAGAGTATAATATCCACACACATACAAGGAAGTCCGGTCAATACTATTATCTTTCAGATATATGCACCAACAACCAGAGTCAAAGAAGAGGAAATAGAAGACTTCTACCAATTTTTACAGACAGAAATCGATTGAACACGCAATCAAGATACATTAATAATAACGGGTGACTGAAATGCAAAAGATGGAAACAAAGAAGAAGGATCAGTAGTTGGAAAACATGGACTTGGTGACATAAATGAAGCAGGAAATAGAATAGAATTTTGCACAAGCAACGATTTATTCTTTGCAAATGCATTTTATAAGAAACACAAAGGCAGGCTATACACATGGATTTCACCTGATGGTATGCAGAGGAATCAGATCAATTACATCTGTGGAAAGAACTGCTGGAGAAGCTCAATATCAGCTGTGAAAACTAGGCCAAGTGCTGATTGTAGAACAGACCACCAATTACTCATATGCAAGTTCAAGCTGAAGCTAAGGAAAATTAAGTCAAATCCACAGAAATCTAAATACGACCTTGAGTCTATCCCATGGAATTTCTAAACCATCTCAGGAGGAGGTCTGAGGCCTTCAACACTAATGAGTGAAGACCAGATGAGCTGTGGAAGGATATCAAGAATATCATCCAGAAAGAGTGCAAAAGGTCATTACAAAGAGAGAGAAGAAAAGACCAAGATGAGATTCTGAATATTGCACTAGAGTGCTGAGAAACCAAAGCAAAGGTGGGGGCGGGGGAGAATGAAAATATTAATGAGCTGAGCAGAAGATTTAAAGGACATCACAGGAAGACAAATTAAAGGATTAAAATGAAATGTGCATAAAACAATGAAAGAATTTTTCTTTTACTTTTCCAAGAGGGTAGTGTACTAGGCGGGAGGGTTGGGAGGGGAGAAAAGTGCAACAATGAGTGAATGGAAATCCAAAGTCTCTGTAAATTTTTATTGAAATTAATAATAAATTAAAACGAAAAAGGGGGGAAGAGATTTCTAACCCCACCCCCCCAAAAAAAAGAAAAGAAAGAAAGAAATGTGCCAAGAACTGGAGTCAGGAAACAAAGGGACCAAACTCACTCACCATTTCTTAAGCTCAAGTAACTGAAGAACAAATTCAAGCCTAAAATTGCAATACTTAAGGATGCTTTGGCCAGAAGATTAAATGATACAGGAAGGATTAAAAGAAGATGGAAAGAGTATAAAGAGTCATTGTATCAAAAGGAATTGGCAGACACAGAAGAATTTCATGAAACAACATATAAGCAAGAGCCTGTGGTGATGAAAGAGGAAGTTCAAGCTGCTCTGAAAGAATTGGCCAAAAACAAGCCCTCAGGAATTGACTGCATACCGATTGACATATTTCAACAAACAGACACTGCCCTGGATGTGCTAACCAAGTTGTGCCAAGAAATCTGAAGGATAACCACCTGGCCAACTAACTGGAATAGATCTATATTTGTTCCCATTCCAAATAAAGGTGATCCAACAGAGTGTGAAAATTACCGAACAATATCATTATTATCACACACAAGCAAGATTCTGCTGAAAATTATCCAAAAAGGACAGAAACAGCACATCAACATCTAACTGCCTCAGGTGCAGGCTAGGTTTAGAAGAGGTTGTAATACTATGGATATTATAGCTAATGTTAGATGGATCTTGGCTGAAAGCAGAGAGTGCCACAGGAATGTCTATTTGTGCTTCATTGCCTATTAAAAGCCATTTGACTGTGTGACCACAATAAACTGTGACTGACTCTGAAAAGAATATCTCAAAGACAGCTCAAAAAAAAAACACCACAAAACAACAAATAGGTATATGTTGGAGAGCGTGCAATTTCTTGGAGGCAAAGATTACAAAGCTTTGTCTCACATACTTAGGGCATAATAGTTGTTGTTGTTAGGTGCCCTCAAGTTGAGTACAACTCATAGAGACCCTGTGAACAAAAAATCTGAACCTCATTCTATCCTCACACTTCCTGGCACACAAGAGTCCACTGTGGCAGTCACCATGGCAATCCACCTGGATGAGGGTCTTCCTCTCCTTCATCAACCCTCTACCCTTCCCAGTATCATGTCCTCCAAAAAATAGCCCCTCCTAGCAACATGCCTAAAGTATGTGAGGCTAAGCCTCCTCATTCTTGCCTCCAAAGAGCACGCTGGCTATATCCTCTCTGAGGCATATCTGTTTCTTATCTTGGCTGTCCATGGGATGTTCAGTGTTCTTCTCCAACACCACAGCTCAAAGGCATCAATTCTTCTGTCATCCTTATTCATTGTCCAGCTCTCAGATGCATAGTAAGTAATCAGAAAGACTATGGCCTGAATCAGATGCACCTTAGTCCTCAAACTGACATCATTACTCCTCAATTATTTGGAGATGTCTCTAACTGCAGATTTTCCTAGTGCAATGTGTCTCTTTATTTCATGATTTCTGGCACCAAGGATGTTAATTGTGGATCCAAGCAAAATAAAGCTGTTGACCATTTCAGTCTCCTCTCTGAATCCATCATGATGTTGCATATTAATCCAGTGGTAAGAATGTTTGTTTTCTTGACATTGAGATGAAATCCATACCGAAGGCTGCATTTCTTGATCTTCCGAAACAAGTATTTCAAGTCCTCTTACTTTGAGCAAGTAAGGTTGTATCATCTGCATAATGCAGGTTATTGATGTGCTTGTGATTGCTGTGATACTGAAGGCTGTGCCACTGGTATGTCAAATGCCAAGTTATCCATGGGAATCCAAGATTGCAGAGGTGGGTGAAGCAGCGAGAATAGCCTGGAAGTGCAGAGCCCCATTGAAATGGGCTTCCACGGCCCTTTGAACCCTCAGTATATTTATATCCAAACAGTTAAACAAATGACTACTGGTCTTCAATATGAATTAGAGCTCAACATCAAGAAGACAAAGATTCTCGAAACCATGGGTGAGCCCTGCCTCCCCGGGCTGCCCACTGCTTAGCCCTGTGGAGCTGCCTCGGCCAGAGCCCATAAATCTCCTTACCTTGGCCAGGTGGCAGGCACAGGGTCCCACGGCCTACATGATGGAGTCCCGCGCACGGCTAGCGGCAGCAGTTGCCAGCGGCAGTGGGGCACCAGCACCAGAAGAGACAGCAGGGCAGTGGCAGTGTCATGGAGCCACAGGAGGTAAAGGATGGAATCTAACAGAATATCTTGCTGTCAGTGAAGATGTTCTTGGATAGATCCCTGATGGCAGATTTTCTCAATGCACCAAATAGGAATTGAAAAACAAATTCAAGCTACAAGTGGCAATACTTAAGGATGCTTTGGGTAGCGTGTTAAATAATCCAAGAAGCTTTAAAAGAAGATAGAAGGAGAATACAGAGTCACTGTACCAGAAGGTATTGACTGACACAGAAGAATGTCATGAAATAATGTATGAGCAAGAGCCTGTGGTGATGAAGGAGGAAGTTCAAGTTGCTCTGAAGGAATTGGCATAAAACAATGCTCCAGGAGTTGACGGCATACAAATTGACATATTTCAACAAATATATGGTGCCCTGAAAGTGCTCACTAAGTTGTTCCAAGAAATCTGGAGGACAACCATCTGGCAAACTGAATGGAAGAGATTGATATTTATTCCCATTTCAAAGAAGGGTGACCTGACAATACCATTAATATCACATCCAAGCAAAATTCTGCTGAAAATTATCCAAAATTGACTGGAGCAACATATCAACAGAGAACTGCCAGATGTGCAGACTGGGTTTAGAAGAGACTGTGGTGCTAGGGATATTATAGCTATTGTTAGATGGATCTTAGCAGAAAGCAGAGAGTACCAGAAACACTATCTGTGTTTTGTTGACTATGTAAAGGCTTTTGACTGTGTGGATCACAATAAACTGTGGTTGACTCTTAGAAAAATGGGAATCCCAGAACATTTGATTGTGCTTATGTGAAACTTATACCTGAACCAAGAGGCAGTCATCAGAACAGAGCAAGGAGACACTACATGGTTCAAAATCAGGAAGTGTGTCCTCTAGGAATGTATTCTGTCTCCATATTTTTTTCAATCTGTATGCAGAACAGATCATCTGGGATGCTGGGCTGAACAAGGAGGAATGTGGAATCAGGATTGGAGGAAGATTCAGCAACAACCTGCATTATGCAGATAACACAACCCTGCTTGCTGAAACTGAGGAGGACCTGAAACACTTGCTGCAATGGTCAAGGACTGCTCAACATCAAGAAAATAAAGATTCTCCCCACTAGGCCAATTAGCAGCATCATTATGGATGGTGAAGAGATTGAGATTGTTAACAGTTTTAGTTTGCTTGGTTCCACAATCAGCATTCTTGGTACCAGCAGCCAGGAAATCAAGAGATGAATTGCAATGGGAAAGTCAGCTGTCAGGGACCTCTCCAGAGTACTGAAGAGCAATGACGTGAGGCTGGAGACGAAGGTGCTCCTGATCCGGGCAATAGTCTTTGCAATTGCATGCTATGCGTTAGAGAGCTGGACAGTGACTAGGGATGATAGAAAGAGAATTGATGCCTTTAAGCTGTGGTGCTGAAGAAGAGTGTTGAATATACATACCATGGACTGCTAGTGAACAAACAGGTTTGTCCTGGAGAGGGTGAAACCTAGCTGCTCCTTGGAGGCAAGGATCCCGAAGCTTCATCTGACATACTTTAGGCAAGTTGCAAGGAGGGACCAGTCCTTGGAGAGGGGCATCATGTTTGGGAGGGTGGAGGGACAGCGCAAGAGAGGAAGACCCTTGATGAGATGGATTGATTCAGTGATTGGGGTAATGGGAATAGGTGTCTCAGAGGTAGTGAGGTTGGCACAGGATAGGGCAGGCTTTAGGGCTCTTGTACATAGGGTTGCTATGAGTTGCAGGTGACTCAACAGCACATAACGACAACAATGCTACCAAGAACTAAATTAAATAGGCAGAGGAAGATGAAAGTTGACCAACCCAAGTGTTACGTGGAACTTACCCTTCACAGTCTGCCTTCAGATAACCTTGCTTTGAGTGCTTGCTCTACTGCCTTTATTCCCTTTTCAGCCTTGAGTGGGTGTACTCTGGAAGCCCCTTCTCCATTTGTGAAAATAATGCCTACTTCGAGTTACAATTAGATCAATTGGTGGAGAAGAACGGGGCAATGATGATGATGCTAGAGCCAGAAGTGCTGTCCCTGTCCTTGGTTTCCAGTGGGGTGCAAGATCCAGACCTCTAAAGAGCTTTGATAGGGGGAATGCTGCCTGGCCCATGAGGATTGCCACTCAGCCCCTGGGGAGAGAGTCTCATGGCCCCTGGGGAGTGCTGCCTGGCCCCTGGGGAAAGCCACCTGGCCCCTAGGGAGTGTCATCACATTTCTGGGGAGAGCCACCTGGTGTGTATATGAGGAATTTTATCTAAGCCCCTTTCCTCAATCACTTCCTCCAGTACATCTGTAAGTAGCACCTCCAAAGTCCTTCTCTTTGTAATCCACAAGTTTGTTCTCTCTAGGTTTGCTCCCTTTCCTATAGGTAACTTGAATACTGAGTCTTGTTTCTGACCTGAATGGAGTCCAGTTCTAGAGACAAGTGAAGGTGGATGTAGCCTCAAAGTTCAGCCCGCCACCTCCACTGGACTCACTCAGGAAAACACTTTCCAGCCCAGAGGGCATAAAATGTCAGGAAAATATCTTCTAACTGAACAAGAAGTCATGTATTTTCAACTCAAGACCACCAGTAATGTGTTAATGCGGGTTCCCCTTCTCCTTCATCTCAATGCTCCTGTTCTGCACAAAGCAACCAGAGAGTCTGCACCCCATTTCCAAATGAGAAACCCACAAATGAAAAAGACAATTTCTCTGTAAATTAAAAAATTATCACCATTGGACTATACCCACCATTACCCTGTATTTTCTGGTCCCTGCCAGATCTCTCTCATTTCCTTCACCCACTCCCTCCACCTACCAAATTGTGCAACCCTGAATTTCATTGCTACTCATCCTCACTCTTCTGCTCCCAAGCTTACCCCCTTATATCCCCATACATGGTTTTGTTTTTTGGTTTTTTTTACAATAAAAAAAGAAAAGAGTTATCCATGGAGAGCAGGTTTTGGTGGAGCTCCCTGATTAAGACAGATTAGGAAGCAGGGTGGGCCATGTACTCCTAAATTACAAGCCTTTGAAATTCCTGTGAACACTAGGGAAGAAGATAGTTTTAGTAGTGTAGTGGAAGAGCCCACATTGTAGGTCAGTTGAATGGGGACATGTTGATAGGAAAGACTATTCCTTGGAGAGGTACATCATGCTTGGGAAAGTGAAGGAATGGTCAAAGAGGAAGAACTTCTACCAGATGGATTGACACAATAATTGCAACAAAGTGCTGAAAAATGTTATAGATGCTGAGATGGCACAGAATAGAACAGTGTTTAGATCTGTTGTTTATAGTGTCACTGTGGGTCCTACTCAAACTCTGTGATACCTAATAACATCATAAATATTTTAACTTGTTTTGCACCAAAAAAGAGGTATTCTTATTATACATAAATGCTATTATCATCTGGAGTAAAGAACAATACTTACTCTCCAATATCATTAAATTTCTGGTCAATTCATATTACTATAGTTATATCCTCACCCCTCTACACCTTTTTTTAATAGACAACTTTTTATAATTAGGATTGACACAGGTTCCATATTCACTTGGTTATTTTATATAGTCTTCTTAAATTTTCCATTTCTGTTCTGTTTTTCTCCTTATGTGTATTTCATTGAATAAATCAGATTGTTTGTCCTTTAGAATGTTTACATTTTCAATTTGAATGGTGGAAGCCTGATACTCTTCTCCAGAACCACAACTTAAAGGCATCAAACATACCACAGACTGCCAAGAGAACAAATAAGTCTGTCCTGGAGAGAGTTAAGTCAGATTGCTCCTTGGAGGCAAGGATTTTTAAATTCTGTCTCTCATATTTTGAGCGTGTTGCCAGGAGGTACCATTCCTTGGAGCAGGACATCATGCTTGGAAGGGTGGAGGGACAGTGCAGGGGAGGAAGACCCTGGATGAGATAGATTGACATAGTGATTGTGGTAATGGGGCAGGTGGTAGGAGACAGTGAGACTGGCTCATGACAGGGCAGGATTCAGATCTATTGTGCATAGGGTCACTGTGAGTCATAGTCAACTCGGTGGCACATAATAACAATAACGTAGTCTGTAGGGAGTTGTGCTGCTAATACATTGGTGATGTCTCTGGCAGTTTGAATCAGTCAGTGGATCTGAGGGAGAAACATGGGCAATCTCCCATGAGATTTTTAGCTGATGAAAACTCAGTGGAGGATCAGCTATGAGTCAGCTCCAATATGATGGCATTGAATTTTGTTTTGGTTTTTTGTATTGTTTTCCTGACTTTTCTATTTCCTTAAACCAATTAAATGTAGAGGTTTAATTAAATTCTGGTTTCATGTTTGGGACAATAAGACTTTACAGTTTCTTTCATTGTTATTGAATCAGAACCAACTCAGAGCTAACTCTCCACTAGATTTCTGGGGCTACAAATTACATGGAAGGCAATTGCCTATCTTTGGTAGATTTGAACCACCAAAGAGGAGCAGCCTTCAGTTAGCAGTGCAACTTCCTCTGGACTAGGCTGCCATATCCTATTGTGTTTCACCAGGAAGGACTTAGTTGTCTTTGTTTCTGTTTCCCTCTAATTGGAAGAGGTGTTAGGTCAGAGGTGCCCAGGTCTGCTGTGTCCTAAATGGGAACTGACAAACTTGAGAGCCCACACACTCAAGAAGCTTAAGTACTTCATTTCACCTGTGGGACTGCTGCAAAAGTTAAATTCAGTCAAAACATTAAGGACTTCAAAGAGCAAAGAGAAACTTGAAGGTCAGGGTCAACTTCTGCATAAAGTGATAAATCTAGATAAGATTTGTCTGCAAATGATGCTTTCTTATAGATTCTGGCTTAGTGACACCATTACTTTACTTCCCTTCCCTTCCGATCAGAGCCTATGTTTGTTTCCTTTACTGGATTAATTACTGTGCCAGCTGAAATGAAAGACCGGAGTTTTCCTGGTGATTTTAAATGCTAAGACTTGACATAATAGCATTTTGATGTCACTCATATTTAGGATGGAGAGACTGTTTCACATACTTTGGGCATGGTACTTCGAGGAACAAGTCCTTGGTGAAGAACATCATGCTTAATAGAATAAGTGGTTGATTTTATGAGCTTTCAAGTTGGAACAGATCCACAGTTTGCCCTTCAATGGATTGTCAGAGGATGTAAGTTGCATGGAAGAAGATTACGCCCCTTTCTCTCATGGAGTAGCTAGTGAGTTCAAACTGAGTGCCTCTCTGTATTGGCAGTGAAACTTCTTACTACTGAGTTCAGAGCTTCCATGATAGAGTAAGAGGGTCAGTCAAAAGAGAAAGACTCGAGATTATTAACACACTGGCTGCAGCAACAGACTGAAAGACAGCAGAGATTGTGAGTTAGGCCCACAACTGGGCAGAGTTTCATTCTGTTGGGTGTGGAGGAGCTGTTATGAATCAGTACCAAATTCATGGTGCCAAACGACAACAACAACAACAGCTGGACAGTTTGTTACACTTTACAACAGTGCCCCCATTGCTTATAATAAATTAAAAAGAATTCAACTGGCTGAATTTGCAGAAGGATTTAATGATTAAAAAGACTGATTGAAACAACTTATCATTTGTGAGATATTAAAGGAAATTGAGTTCCTGGGTTTCCCTATCACCCTCATATATCCTGAACTTGGTGCTACAGTATCCTCTGACATCTGCTTGCTGCTGCTCCTAGTCCCTGAAGTAAGGAGGCCTATATCTATAGAGGCTATGCTAGGCAGAGCTAGCCAGTAATACATTCAACTCTCTCATATTCAACTCTCTCTCTCTCTGAGATAAAGCCAAACCTCTTCCCTCTACATGGCATCAGAATGATTCATTCAGCAATTAGTCATGACAAATTACACCCTAGCCTCATCCACCTGGCTACAGCAATACTGAAGAAAAAAACACAAACAAACGTGTTCCACGGCCGCATTCCAGATCACCATTGCCTGATATCTAGCACCCAATAGGGAGCTGACTCTCCATATATTCCACCAGTTGTCAGAGGTAGAACGAGGTGGTGTAAGGCAAAAGAACAGACACGGTTTCTCCCATCTGAGTCTCCCTTGGGCTCTAAGTTCTATGTGCACCTTTCCATAATAAAAGTCTGTGAGTCAACACCCAAATGCTTCCCAGGGCTCTGCAGGAAACTGAAAAAAATACATTTACCTCACCCTCACTCTACTCCTTAGGAGGACTATTTGCTAAAATAAGAACACTAAATAGGCCATAGTGCTATGTATAATAATCAAATGTCCAGGACAGAATTTTTAAATAAACAGCAAAATAGCCAACTCATTATACCAAACATAACTTGAATGGCAAAGACAATCAATCCTTTGCTGTTGTTATGTGCCCTGTCCTGTGCCATCCTTACCATCTCCAGCACCTTAATTACCATGCTACAGTCATTGTGTCTGTCTTGTCGAGGGTCTTCCTCTCTGATATTGACCCTCCACCTTCCCAAGCATGATATCCTTCACATAGGCCTGGCTCCTCCTAACAACAAGGTCATAATATGTAAGATGGCATTTCATCATCCTTGCTTCCAAAGAGCATTCTGGTTTCACTTTCTCCAAATCATAACTGTTATTTTGGCCTTCCATGGAATATTCAGTACACTTCTCCAACACCACAACACAAAGGCATTTACTCTTTTTTTCTGTCATCCTTATTCACTGTCCAATTTTCAGATGCATAGCAAGCAATTAAGAAGACCATGACTTGGATCAGGGACATCTTGGTCTTTAAGGTGACATTGTCACTCTTTAGCACTCTGGAAAAGTCCCTGGCAGCAGATTTTTCTAATGTGATTTTTTTGACTGCTGGTGCAAATGCCTCTCATTGTGAATCCAAGCAAGATGAATTAATTGACAACGTCACTCTCTTCTCTTCGGGTCTGATGGCAAGGATTTCTCTTGTCTTGATGTAGAGATGTAAGCCATATTGAAGGCTGTAGTCCCTGATTTTCTGCAGCAGAGCTGCAAGTCTTTCTCACTCTCATCAAGGTGATTGTGTCATCTGCATAACTCATGTTGTTTATAAGTCTTCCTTCATCCTCAAGTTACATTCTTCTTCATAAAGTCCAGCTTTTAAAATTATTTGTTCAGCATACAATAGAACAGAATCGTGGTACTAGGGATATTGTAGCTGACGTTAGATGGATCTTAGCTGAAAGCAGAGAATACCAGAAGAATGTCTATCTGTGTTTCATTGATTATG